CAGAAGTTTTTTCTAGGCAGGATCATTTCTTCTGTACCTGATAGTTCATAACTTTTCAGCTTTCATGCTAAGTGACACAAAGCTATATGTTCTAATATAGCCCATCTCCATGGCTTTCTACTTGGACAAAATAGGACCTTAGTTTCACAGCAGATTGTCACTTGTGTCCCATAAATCTAGAGCTTTTGGAATGCCTTTCATTCTACAAAGATGTTTAACAGTGACTTTGTTTTCGAATTAATATTGTATAGTATAGTTGAAACTATTAAGAGAAGTTGGCTAAGAGATTGCCTAGCTTTTTACTTTGCTGGATTTATTAAGCCACAACACATCCCTTTTCCAATTTTCAATCACCAGAAAACTGAATACATAATCTAATTCTCAGACTAGTTTGTAGAGATGCCTGCGATTTAGAATTATGCCCTTGAGAATCCAGGACTTCTTAACTCAGCACTATTGACATTTTGAGCTGCATAATTCTTTGTTGTTGGGGCCTGTCCTGTGCATTGTGGGATATTTAGCAGTATTTCTGTCCTGTACCCACTAGGTGACAGTAGCAACCCCCCACACCAGTTGTGACGACCAAAAATGGCTCCAAACTTTACTGAATGTCCCCTCGGGACAAAATCACCCACAGTTGAAAATCACAGCCTTACGAAATAATCACTGTAAGGAAGTACATGTAAGGATTGTCTGTGCTACTGAAGAAACTAACAATAACAGAAGTTATTGATACTATTATGTTTCAGTACTTTTTAATACTTTCATGAGATTTCTCTAAGAACTTCATGTTATGAAAAGTTTGTATCTCTTAATGAACTGTTCTTTTTACTAGATAAAATCTATCATGGTTCTATTTCTTCATTGGTTTCTAGGAAATTCAGCTAAGTTTGTACTAGTTAACAGTGACTTTACTAAGCTGCTGGGATTTTCTTAGTTACTTGGCTCATGTTCTTTTATCCTTGGTGTTATATCTAAATGTCTTATTATGAACTGCTTAAAACTCTTGATGAGGACAGATGTACGTTTTTGGTAAGTAAAGAATCCTATTCGCTTTAAGTGGCTATTTAATAGGTGGGTGAGCTAATTGAATTTACTGGAATACAGGGATTGTTTTTCTTGCAAATAAACCATTAGTAATACATTCAAATGAGAGCTGTAAGTGGTTTAGTTTTTGAGACTGAATGGTTAAGGAACAAGTAGTAAAATGTGAGCAGTAGATGATGAAATATGAACAAGAAAATAGGCTTGGAGTAGGTATTATCTACACGGTTTCGTGGTCACTATAACAGAGATAATAGGTGAAGTGAAGAAACTTCTTGTATTCTAGGATTTTATTATTAGAGTGATGATGTTACATAGAACTGTTTTCCTGGGAGATATTGCATGGGAGAAGTATGATTTGACTTCGAAGAAGAGGTACACATAATGGTTAAGAGCATGGCTTTACAGTTCTCACCACCATTTCCTAGCTATGCAACTTTAGGTAAGGTTCTTAATGCTTGTATGCCTTAAGTTTTCTTACTTGTAAAGTGAAGTTGATAACAATACTACATGTTTCATAGGGTTCGAGGAGGATAAATAATAGACATAAAGCTCTTAGCTTGGGCTTCCCTGGTGGCACAGTGGTTAAGAATCCACCTGCCAATGCAGGGGACATGGGTTCGAGCCCTGGTCCGGGAAGATTCCCACATGCTGCGGAGCAACTAAGCCCGTGCGCCACAACTACTAAGCCCATGTGCCATAACTACTGAAGCCCACACACCTAGAGCCCGTGCTCTGCAACAAGAAAAAAAAAAAGCTCTTAGCTTAATGCCTGGCCCGTAATAAGTGCTCATTAACTGTTAGCTGTCGTTTTTAACCTTCAGTTAAAATAATTCATAGATTAATGGTATGATTTACAAGAGTTTTAGTGTATTGGTTTGCATCTCAAGATATGAATATATATGCATGTATGTATATATTATATGTATATAGAATTTTAAAAATTATATAGTTCTAAATTCTTCACAGATTATTTGAAGCTTATTTTTTTTAATTAATTTATTTTAGTTTAGTTTTGGCTGCGTTGGGTCTCCGTTGCTGTGCAAAGCTTATTGTTATCTTTATAGTTGAGTCTTAAAAAAATTCTTCTTTTTGAACAAGTAACTTGAGACAAAACTAAGTATTAACTGTCTCATTGGAGCAAAGAATTCCAGTAATGTAAAATACGGTGATTTGGGAATATTTTACATCTGTTTGAGATATAGGACATTGTTTCCATAGAATATCTGTTAGGGTGTGAAGCTCAAAATGGAAAGAAATAATGTGGTGATGTACATTTGTTACATGTCCTTTTAAAACACTTTTACAAAAGCATATTATAATTAAGACATTAGTAGGACCTTTGTATCACACTTTTTAGTTCATCTTAGCATCAGAATGATTTATGTAAAAGGTAAAGAGTAACCTTTAAGCATACAGTAATGTGTGAGGTCACTATTTGTAGAAAATGATTTTGATGGACTTCTCTTATAATCTTCACTCTGTAGCACAAATTTTTAGAACTTATTTTGGGGGTAACCTTTTGAGATTTAGCTCTCTTATTTCCACTAGTATCTCAAGAGATAACATACATTTATTCGCCAGTGTAGCATATTTCATTATCATAAGAAAAATAATATGCTTCCTAAACAATCAGAATTGAAGTCGGAATTTTTTTTAATGGGTAAGGCTTCAAGGGAAAAGATGAAAAGTACCATGTTTTAGCAGTGCTCTCCTCCTCCATTCTCTGCCGTGTTAGGCTGGATCTTGAATGATGTCAGGGATCCTTAGGGGGAGACAAGTGACAGAGAATAAAAGAAGGGTGGTAATTGAGCTCTTTGGGATTGGAAGTGCTGGCAGTCCCCAAAGATAAAGCACAAGTGGCATGGTCTTTTCTATCTAGGGCTTAAACTAGAATTGCTTTTCTCCTTTACAGCAGAGCTTGGAATTTTGTTGTTATTGTATCCTTTGGGATTTTCCCCCAGCTATTGTGTTTTTGCTTTCTTTCTCCTTTATTGTTAATTTTGCTTCCAGTGCATATTATATGCTTTAATTTTATAGTTATCTTCTGTTAAGACAAGAGGTCTTTAATCAGTGATGGAGAAGAAAGACAAGGCAAAACCTTCATTTACTAAAAATGAATTCTATAAATGGCCAGTCATGCTGCCTACTATATTATGAATGCTAGTATTCAGTACTTTATTATATACAAAATACATTTTAAAAATTGTAACCTCAGTTAAAGTAGTTAGTGTTTTGGCACTTTTAAAATTGCATAATTTGTTTCGGAACTACTAAATTTGCTATAGCTTCAGTAGAGGCAGTGAAGAACAGTAGAATAAATGTGCTTTTGAAATCAAACTTGAGTTATGCCTGATTCCCAGTTGATATCTATTAGCTTACATGATCTTGATCTTTGGATTCTTTGGCTAAAAACTTGACAATTAGTATCCTTACCTTTGGTAGTTGTTAGTGATTTACATGAAATAAATGTGAAAGCGTGTCTGGTAGTGTTAAGTGCATTCTGTGTCAAGTTCTCTTCCCCTCCACTCTCCACTGAGCCACCTTATCCCTACTATTAGGAGCTTATTGTTGAAAAAAAAAAGTCCCAGAGTAACCTTTGAAAGGTTTATATTTATGAAAAAATTAGAAGGAAAAAGGAATTTGAAAAGAAGTAGAAGAACAGAAGGCGGCAAGTAGGAGAAAAAGAGTTATAGCTCTGATAAAATACTTCTTTAGATAACCAGTTCTTCAAGCTGGAAGAGTGAGTTCTTTCTGCTTACATTGTTGCTGCTATTGTAGGTCAGCAACATATTTAAAGATGTGGGCATGTTTTGTTTTGAATTTTTATATAAATAATGAGCTTTTGGCTCATCTGGGCAGCTTTGCCTGTAAAAGTTTTCTAGTTCTTTGCCTTTTGTACTTTCTTCTTAAATTTTCCCCAAGTCAGTAAAGGCGGGGAGTATGTAGCTCTTTTGGCAGTAAACTGGGGGATGACTCATACATACTTCTCAGACAGTAATGGTTATAATGGTAGAATGATGAGCTCCCCATACCATAACTTAGCCTGGTGAACCTCTGAAGAGCTGCTTACATGTTTACATGACAACACAGAACTTTATGGCCATTGTTCATTATATCATGTGATATATTTTTACTGTTGCCAATGTGACACTATAGCAGTGGTCGTTGGGCTACCTCGATATTACTCACTTTGGAAACCACATAGTTCTGATTTCTAAGTCTATGGCTTATTGTAGGTCTCTGCCTAGGTGTTTTTGATTGTGTATGTGTGTGTTAGAGCTTATTAAGAAGCATTGTATAGTCTTTTGATTTCAGGAAGACCTTTTTAGTTTATAAATCTTAAAGTTGGAAAAAGGAAAGAAGACCCTTAAATTTTTGTTTTAAAATTGTTTATGAAATTCCACCAATATAAGGAGTATATTCATAAATGTGTTTGTAGTTTCCTTGTCTACCATTATATAATGACTGGGCATTGAAAAAGGAAAAAAATAATGGGTACACTGAAATTAGATTTCTTTCCCTTAGTTCGACTACTGATTTGCTGTGTGATTTTGTGGTTTACTTTGTTTTGGCATAGGTTCTTATGTAACATAAGGATTCTATCTTTCCTAGAAAGATTGCATAGATAAATACTATATAGTACATAATAAAAAAATATATACATTCAGGATGTTCATATATTGTATCCACTCTGTTTTTTTTTAGAAATTGTTACAGTATTCCTCCAGTGGAATTCAAATCAGCTACCGTGGATTACTTGTTTTCCCTTGTTTGCAGATTATTTTAGGCATGTGAACTGTAGTTCAAAGATTTGTTTTTATTACTTGAAGTCAGTTTATCTTGCAATAAATTATGTAGTTTAGGGATTATATGATAAAAGATTTCTGTATTTCTCTTAAGATGTTAAAATTATATGCAAAAAATTACGTGCATAATGTTTTGTCTGTTTTCAGGTCCAATGATGCACCAGCAGCCTCCTTCTCAACAGTACAATATGCCGCAGGGAGGTGGGCAGCATTACCAAGGCCAGCAGCCACCTATGGGAATGATGGGTCAAGTTAACCAGGGCAATCATATGATGGCACAGAGACAGATTCCTCCCTATAGACCACCGCAACAGGGTACGATTCCATTTGGAAAATTTTTAACAGTAGTCGAAAGGCTTTAAATTTTAATGAACTTTTCATACAGGCAAAGTCAGAGCTTTTTGTTTCTTGATTTTTAAAAATCATATTTTATTATTTTTCTTAAAAGTTAGTGGGTATAGTAGGTACAAAGGGTCAGAGAAAGTGGATATGAACTTCCTGGTTTATAGCTTTCTTTTATTCTTTTCTGGGAAAAGTTTACATCAAAATTTTATATCGAAAGCTTACTAAATTTACAGCAGAAAATACTGTTTTATTTTTCAGAAATTACTAAATTTGAGAAGTTACTAAATATATGATGAGAAAAAACCCTAATTTATTTCAAACTGCTCTAATATCAAAATAAAAAGGAAATTAATTTTCTTCCAGTTTGAATCTCTTTTTAGGAGGTTAATGTTTGTTTTTTTGAGTTGGTATTGTTTGATATTGCATGTATGGTCTTAACATTAATTTTTGTGAAATGTGGTGTGTGGTTTTGCTGTGTGTTTATGTATGTGTGTGTATACGAATAGTCAAAAGTATCTGAAATGCCCCAAAGCATGGGAGGGGAATCTACAGAAATCATCTCTCATAACACCAGATTAGACGGAAAGCCTTTGAATGACCTGGAGAACAAATTATTTACATCTTGACTGGTTGTGGTTTTTCAGGCCCACCACAGCAGTACTCAGGCCAGGAAGACTATTATGGGGACCAGTACAGTCATGGTGGACAAGGTCCTCCAGAAGGCATGAACCAGCAATATTACCCTGATGGTAATCTCTCCTAATGTTAACTTTCCCATTTTCTATCCCTGCCCAGTATTAATGTGGGTAGCTACTCAAAACATTCTAATCAGAATGAAGAAACTAACAATGTGTTTCTTCCAAATTTAGAAACACTTCAGTAATCTAAAGCATCAATGGTAGCATTCGTCTATAATCTATTTTAAAGTATATTTTGTTTGGTTATTCCATATTAGTACCATCAGGAATCATGTTCTGTCATTGGAATCCTTTCTTATATAAAAGAGGATCCTTTTATATTTGGAATTGTTCATTTGAACCAAAGCAAGTGTTACTGATTTACTTTTTTAAATAAAAGCTTTTTTGAGGTAATTCATATACTGTAAAGTTCACCCACTCGTTTACTTTTATGCATTGTATAAATACGAAGAGAATATAGTTTTGAGTATTCTTCCAAATTTCATCATGTTCGTTAACGTTGCATATGTCTCAAAGAACAGAACTATGTTTATATACATTAGCATTTGCGCTTGAGAAAGATTTTAGAGACTGAAACATATCCATAATATAGCTGTTTATAATAGAGTTAGTAGAATAGAAAGGCATTTGGAAACCAGATTTTAACTTTAGTTACTTAGTTTAATGGTGTGTTCATTTTTTAGTGGGAAGGTGGCTTGTGAAAAAGTGGTCAGTAAAAGATGTACTGTGCTTAGTAGTAATACAAGCATACAAGCAGGCTTTCATCATACAGTTCTTTGTTTTCCTGTATGTTTGAAAACTTTATGATACAATGTTGAAGAAAAAATAATACAAACAAATAAAATTGATCATATAGAGGTGGTTAGATTTTTCTTGTTTGGAAGGACTTGCCAAAATCTTCATTTATATTAAGCTCCCTTGATGTATTTAAGGTAAACTGCTTAACAGAAAACTTGGGCAAACTAAGAACTTCAAGCTAAAGTGTTGGGACCATTTGACTAGAAGCTAATGTAAGCTAGCAAGAAGATATAATTTGGTGTATTTAAAAAATATTTTGTCCACCACTTTTTATCAGTGTATAAAGCATAAGTGGTATAGGGACGTTGTTTTTTTCCTGCAAAGATTCTGCTTACACAAGCAGAACGAACACCTGTAGAATTTTGCACACAAAATCTCTGTAGGTGGCAGTGATATGTATGGATAATTCTGGTTAGAAGACAACATTGTTTTTTAATGTTTTACTTGCCCTGAATTATTTAGAATGTTGGGTTTTTTTTTCTTTTTCCTTTCACATGTAGACATTATATTAAGTTTTTTTTTTTTAATGAAAAACTGTAGTTACATTTATAGACTATAGATATTTTAAAGAAATGAACTCTAGGTTGTTAAATATTATACATTAGGAAGTCTGCTGAAAATAAATGATTGTTTTGTTTAATTTTAAAGATACATTTTAAGTAACTGAGTTGAATTTAACACTGTTATTTTGGTCCTGAGTATTTCCTGAAATGTGAAATTTGTATTGTTATAAATATGAACTTTCTATTCAAAATAGAGATGTTATTTTTGTAAATAGCAGAACTTTAAGGTTGCTATAAATAATTCATTTTATTACATAATGGATTTTTAAAATTTCAGTGGTATCATTTTTGTATAGCTGTGTATTAATATATTTGTCTGACATTTACATAGAGTATTCCATTTATAACAACAATTAATTTTCTTAAACAGCATTGGATATTTTGTTATTATGTTTAGATACTACGTCAATAAATATGTAGATTAGGGGTTGGCAAACTTTTTTCTGTAAAGGGCCAGGAAATAAATATTTTCGTCTTTGCAAATCATGTGGTCGCAGTCTAAACTACTGAACTCTTGTGGTAGCATGAAAACAGCTATAGAAAATATGAATGGATATGACTGTTCCAGTGAAACTTTCTTTACAAAAACAGTCCACTGGCTGTGTTTAGACTGCAGACCATAGTTTGCCAATCCATAATATAGATATTTATGAGGTGGTTTGGGATCATTGGAATGCTAGAGCAATGAGTATTACATTTATTCATAACTATATTCCTCCTCACTTAATTAGGTATTTCTCTAAAATTTAGTTTAGATTTTACCTAACTAAAAAGTTATTTCCTGCGATTTCTTTGAGCAGCTTAGTTAAAAGGACTAAAGTATTGACTTCATTAAAAGTCTGGTCATCTTGCAGGTGTAAATTTATCGTGCCTTAAAATTAAAGGTGTACTCTAGCACTTAACACAGTACTAATTTTATGAAGGTGTATGTTTATGATACTCTAGAAATATTTTCTAAAGGCTCCTAGAATGGCAGGATTAAGCAATATATTTTTGCATCTGAAAATACTTTGAGATACATATACTTTAAGCAAGTTAATAGAAAATGTGAAAAATTTGTTTCAGTTTCTTTTAGGGGAAAAAAACTTATGGAGCTCTTTTATATTTTGCATTGTTTTAGCATATGCCGTGGAATTGGCGACCAGCAGAACAGGTGTTTGACAAAATATAATTGCTTCCTTTGTTCGTTCTAATTTAATTCAAGTTATTTACATGTGAAAGTCCTAAATGCTTTCATTCTCTTTTTTTTTTTAATTGAAGATATAGTTTTTTTTTCCCTCCTTGATGAGGATTGTCAGAGTTAAGACTAAGTGTAATGTTTCTAAAACTGTTTTTTGCTTTAAAAAAAATTTGCACGTTATCTCAATATGAAAACAATCACATTTGGTAAATATTTGGCTAATGCAATTGAAATTATTTTTTATGTATTTCCATTTCTTTTTCTTTTTTTCAATTTTATCTGAAAGTTTAAATATATTTAGGGTTTTCACTCAGTGGCCATTAACGTTTCTTCCTGTCTCTTGTCGAATTGATGTAGGTCATAATGATTACGGTTATCAGCAACCGTCGTATCCTGAACAAGGCTACGATAGGCCTTATGAGGATTCCTCACAACATTACTACGAAGGAGGTATCTATATACCTTCACACACATACACATATATATCCCCTTCTACAGGAACGAAAATTCTTGCATAAGGCAACTTCTACCCACGCAAAGCTCTCGTAGAATACTAGTTGCTGGCTGTCTTGAAAGTTGCAGGGAGCCTAGAACAATCAAAATAATTTCCTTACAAATATTTAAAATGTATAACCATGACTTGCCATTTCTAACAACAATAAAAAGACTAAAACATTTTAAAATAATTTTTTCCTCAGTGGAAATTTTCTATTTGAACATAAATCCATCAATCCAATTTTTTTTTCTTGTGTGTGTTTACATATGTATAATTTTACATATAAGTTTAGTGCCTTTAGGAAACAGCTTGCTGATCTTGTGTAGCTAGTGTGTGCTCTTGTAGCTGTCTTTAATTTTGTCTTTTTTATTTTATTTAGCATAGTCATGATCTTATGACTGTGATGTTCCAGTAAATGTAATGCTCGTATGGCAGAGACGCTGAAAATGCTGCAGTTCAACCTTGCACAATTGGCTTTAACTGCAGTTTGTTTGGCCGAAATCCTTCTGTTTGGTTTGAGTTTTTTCTTTGTTTTGTTAACTTTTAAAAATCAATATGGCATTTTATTTTGTTCTTGTGTTGTTGGCTATGCATCTTAGAGGAAAAAAGTTAATTAAGCAAACTTCTCAGTTTTTTTTTTTTTCCTCTTCTCCAATTATCCTGTAGGGAATTCACAGTATGGCCAACAGCAAGATGCTTACCAAGGACCACCTCCCCAACAGGGATATCCAGCCCAGCAGCAGCAGTACCCGGGGCAGCAGGGCTACCCAGGACAGCAGCAGGGCTACGGTAATGGCTTACTGCAGTTTATTCTTGTCACCAAAAAATGTGATGATTACTCTTTCATAATACAGAAGTGGATATTTAATGTTTATTTTTCTAAGAATTATTTTTGAAGATTCACAGTTTTAGCTTAGCTTGTTACTGGAGTGTTTATATTTAAAGTGTTGGTTCTTAAACTAGTAATCCATTTAAAAAGAAACATAAACTAGAGATGGTTCATTGACCAAAGGTAAGGTATGTAGTCACTCAAAATGAAATCCTTAATGAATTCTTAAACCTATTTGGCATCCACAACCAGCCAATAACTATGTATGTGCTTGGAAAACTGATGAGTTGGGTGATTATTAACAACATCTACATAATCTGCTTGGCAAATTTGTTTCTAAAACTAATGACTGTTACCATGAAAAGTAACATTGATCTTTTAGTGTACAAGTGAGATCTATTTGGAACGCGTAAAGAAAATGTCTTTGTCATTCTGTTAAAATATCAGTTTACACATTCATAGGAGTATATTTATTGCAGGTATGTATCTTACACTTTGGGAGAAATATAGCCATCTTTTCTTATTATATACTCACTATGATGTCTACTAGTTGGCTATCTGACTGTTAGATAGGGAGGGGGGGAATAATACAGACCTGATATCTCAGTCTTAAATTTTCGGCTTTTATAATAACTATTTTAGATACAGGAAAATACGATTCCTACGATAGGAGAAGTAGCTGCTTAATCTGACATCATCTCTTGCTAACATGGCCTCCTTTTTAACATTAGTAATGTCTTATTATTTTTATTCATGGTTTAAACTCTGCTGTTATTATGGGCACCTCTTTCCACCTGTGATAGCAAATCTAAGAGCCAGGATTAGGCTGAAATTCTCTTGCACCTTCAACAGAAGCACTGGAATTCAGCCAGGTATTGGGTGTCAGGAATTTTCCCCAAAATGATCAGTTCTGGTTCCCAGATTCCAGCTATGACTTTAGAAATACTCCATGTATTTCTTGTCTTTACAAAGGGACTTTCTTGCTCCTCTCAAATGGCATTTCCATTTCATGACCATTAAATATTTGTACACCGAATAAATAGAGTATTCTGGTTTTATTGTGTTTGCATGAAAACAAATATTATGTGGATCAGTCAGGTAAGTTTATTGATTTAAGAGAAATATTATTTTCAGTGGAAAGAGAGAGTAAAAGAAATTTAGTGATTTTGGCTTAAGTAGTTAAATGCTGTTTTGTCAGACATCGTTGGGCACCCTAAAGGAGACGTCCCCATTTTGCTTATCTGTAGGTTTCAGCTCTCAGACTTGCTTCTAATAAAAAATAGAGTTTTAATAATTGGATGCATAATAACTAAATAAACAAAATAATAGACTGGTGGAATTTAAGCTTGAAAATTTCTTGTTCTCTTTGACATCTTTCTCTGCAGTGTTTTTTATGACAGGATTTGAATGGCTGTGATAGAAAACATTTAAGTATCAAAGCTTTTCAGCTTATGCTTTATAAAGCATTCTTTACAATAGACAGGAGTAGAGTTTATGAAATAGACGTGTTTGTTTGGCAAGCCAGATTAGTCCCTTGTCATCTCTGGAAGTTGAAATCATTCATTTATATAGGTTAAGTATTAAAGGTGATGGGTACACAGAGTGTAACTTTTGAATCATGTTTTTTCCACATACAGCCTGTGGCTTTTCAAGTCTTCTTTAGTTTCTGTTTGAAAATATTGTGATGATGAATTTCTCAGTGCAGAACATAAAGCTTCCTTTTGGTGATTGCAAATGCAAATCTAGAAATTACATGTAAAATCATTCTTTGTGATTCTTCTAGTGATTGCAAGTATAAATCTTAGAGTTATACAGCTGTAACTATCACTGATTTCCAAACTTTATTCAGAAGTTACTTCAGTATTTCAATTTGAGTCTGCTCCTTGCCTTCTTTTCACCACTTGCTTATTATACTGGTTAACTTCCTACTAGAAGTATAGATGAATTTCCTTAACATCATGGAGTTAACTTGCTTTACAACTCCTGAGTCTCTTTTACTCATTTTGACATATAAAATCTTAATGGCTAACACATAGCACAATAGTTATACTGAATCAGAGCATAGTGGTACATAGTAGTGTCCTTAACAGTATTTTTACTTCTTATAACTTTCGGAATGTATTTTAAAACGCATTTGAGAAAAATCGAGATACCAGACTGCAAGGGAATATGGTAACATCTAATCTTAAACCGCTTCTGGAATTCTAGGGACTTACTGTATTTTCTCCTGGGCTCTTGTGTGTGCTGATTATTTTACAGGTCCTTCGCAGGGTGGTCCAGGTCCTCAGTACCCTAACTACCCGCAGGGGCAAGGGCAGCAGTATGGAGGTTACAGACCAGCCCAGCCTGGGCCACCCCAGCCCCCGCAGCAGAGGCCTTACGGGTATGACCAGGTGAGTTACCCGGGTGGCCGGGACTGCCCTGTTGTTTGCTCACTCTCGACTAGGTTGCACGTTCCTCAGCTGAAGATTCATTTTTCCCGCCTCTTGTTTATAGTGTTAACCGAAAAAAAGTGGTTACTTACTCGAGTCTTCTTCATAGAACGCTAACACAGTTAATCATCGTTGCTGTAGCCTACAAAACATGGCGTATCTCTAAGCGCCAGCATTCGTTCATGTTTGTTCATTCATAGTCTCTCCCTGGGCTTTACCCCCTAGGCATACTTCCCTTCGCTATCCCAAACATTATTCTGTGTTCTGAAGCCCTTAATTTCTCTGATGTGCCTCACGTTTATTGTTCAAGACTCTGCTTTGATCTATTGAAATGTGGAGTCCATCTGAAGCAGTACTCTTCCTGGCTCTTGTCTTCACTCCAGCATATTCACCCCACTCCCCTCACATGCACGATATCCCTTCTCTTTAAACTCATACTCACCACCTGTCTCTGTTGCCTCCTTCCATACACATATCGATTATCTCAGATATTAATCATCTTTCTTTCTCCCCTGTTATCTTTCCTTCTACTACCTTCAGATATCTATAAGTGTATCTCGTCCTCAGATGACTGTATTCTCTTGAACCTCGTGTTACCTTCTTTTCATCAGTAAATTTCTCAGACTTAATAATCTGTGCCACGGTCATTGTTCTGTGAATCTTCTCATACATACTCTAAATTATTATTAAACTGATTTATTATGTTGGCAGTTTTTTTTAATTGATTTCAGGTTTGTCTGATGACTTTCTAGTGAGGAGGATCTGATCTCTTCACCACTTAAGCTACCTAAATTGGTTACTTTTTAATGTTAGGGTACCGGGACCAGTGGGGATGATCTGGTTTGAGAAACAACGCGTATGCAGTGCTCATTAGACTCTAAGGCATAAGCAGCTCTCTCATCGATGCTCTCTCAAGTCTACAACCCCCTGTACTGACATGTTCTAGTTAAGTGGAAAATTTAAAAGAATTATAAGAGGCTTAAAAGTATGGACAGACAGGACTTCCCTGGTGGCACAGTGGTTAAGAATCTGCCTGCCAGTGCAGGGGACACAGGTTTGAGCCCTGGTCCGGGAAGATCCCACATGCTGCAGAGCAGCTAAGCCCGTGCACCACAGTTGCTGAGCCTGTGTGCTGCAACTACTGAAGCCCGCACGCCTAGAGCCTGTGCTCCGCAACAAGAGAAGCCACTGCAATGAGAAGCCCACCCACCGTAACGAAGAGTAGCCCCCGCTCACCACAACTAGAGAAAGCCTGCGCACAGCAACGGAGACCCAACGCAGCCAAACATAAATTAATTAATTTCAAAAAAAAAAAAAGTATGGACAGATAAGTAATACTAAAAAAAATACACTAGAACTAAATCAAAGGAGTAGGCAGAAGTTTTATCTAAATTTTAAAAGTAAAATAAGTGTTGACTAGTGAGTATCTAAGGACAAGATCCCTGAGCAGATAAAACGTAGGCTCCTTCACATCCACAGGTTAACTGCTGAAAAGTGGTCCTTTACTCCCTAATTCAACAAATATTTATTAATTTTCTGTGTGTGCTGGATACTATATTATGTCCTAGATGAGTAAAACAGACCTGGTCCTTATGGCTTATGGAGCAACTACCTGGATCTTCCTACCTGCTTCACTTTAGCATTTGATACCTGTTCCTGTCTTCATCCTCAAGTGGTCTTCTTTAGCTTCTATATTACTGTACTATTTTGTTCCTCTTACATTTTCAGTGATTCCTTCTTTATTTTTTACTTGTTTCTCATCTTTCTTTTCCCCAGATATCAATCCTTGGCTTAGTGTTTTTCCCGGTCTCTATATTCACCCTGTCTTACATTTTCAGTATCCTTAGCCTACTCTTCTCAACCCAACTTCAGCTCCATTTTTCCAGCTGTGAGCAGAACATCTCTCTTTGGATGTGTTGTCATTTTCCTCAGCTTCATCATTTTCTCTCTAAATCAGCATATTTCTAAGTCTCTTAAACTTAACATCATTCCTTAAGCAAATGTTTCTCGAGCAACATTTATATGCCAAGTACCTAAGATGGGGCTATATTGGGAAATAAGATAGACATGGACTCTGCCTTTGTGAACTTAAGTCTAGGTGGAAACAGACAAGTAAGCAGATGATACGATATAGTGTGAGAAGTACTTGGATGAGGAAAGGCAAGATTTTTGTGGAAGGGAGCTCCTAACCCAGACATGTGTTCCTTAGGAAGTATTATATAAATGCGAGAGCCCAAGGATGAGTAGGTATTAGCCAGCTGGTTGTGGAGGAGAGAAGGATATTCTGGTCAGAAAGAAGTGCACTCACAAAGGACTCGTGTTAAGATGTGTGGCTTAGTAAAGCAGGAGTGCGGGGAAGAAGAGGCAAGAGTGGAGATGAATTGGGGCCAGATGAGGAGGGCTCTTGTAAGCCATGTTGGGGAACTTGGGCTTTATCCTGATAACAGTGTGGAGCCTTTAAAGTGTTTTAAATGATGTATCTAAAGTATATAGCAGTGGCTGGCATATATAATAGATATATCATATGTTTCTTCTTTTATCATGATAATTATTCCACCCTTTAAAGTCCTCAGGAATTTGGGGACTATACAGTAGAAAATGACCCGTGATGTTGGGGTAGTTGCCAGCCACATCTTCTTCCCCATTAGAAAAGGCTATGAGGAGGGGACCATTCTAGCTACTCTGGTGTTAGTAGCCTCCCCACATCTATCTCATGGATTCCCCCAACCCAAACACCTGTTAGTTTCTTCGTTTTAGGGAAAGTTATTCAACTCTTCAAGATAGTTAAGGCAATGGAAAAGAAATCTAATTATAGTGGTGTTTAGGCTCTTGTGGCAGTATGCAGGATGAATTAAAAGAGGGGCATTGAGAGAGAATCCTGTTAGGGGCTGCACCCCCCCGCACCCCACCCGGGTCAGTCTTTCCATCTCCGTGAACAGCAGCTCAGTTTTCCACTTCCTCAGGCGGAAAACCCGGAGTCATCCTTGACTCCCTTCTTTTTGCAAATCAAACATCTAGTCATCCAGCAGATCTCATCACCTCTTCCTTCAAAATACATGCCGTATCTATAGTCATTTTTCACAACTTCCTGCCCTTACCGAAGTCACAGTCATAACTCTCACTCATCTGGACTGGTGCACTGTCCTCCTTCCTGGTCTTGCTGCTTTCCTCCTGGCTCCTCTACAGGATGTGCTCCTCACAGGACCTAGAGTGATCTTTTAAAAACGTCAGTCCGGTTAGGCCACCCCTCCGCGCATAACCGTGTGGCGACTTCATTCCCGCCCAGAGTAATATAATGGCCTAGAAGGCCATGCTCAGCTCATGTCCCCAGCCCCTACCCCACCACCTCACCTCTGTATTTATAGCCACCTTCATTCATTCTGCTTCAGTCACACTGGCCTGTTTCCAGCATGTTTCTCCCTCAGAACCTTTGTATTTACCGCTCCCTCTTCTGTTGTGTCTTTATTTGCAGTCAGTTCAAAATATTTTCTGATTTCGCTTTTGATTTCATCTTTGACCCAAGAGTTATTTAGAAGTGTATATAGTTTTTGAATATTTGGGGATTTTCCAGGTAGTTTTCAGTTACTGATTTCCCATTTAATTTCATCATCTTGATAGAACATACTTGGTATGACTTGAATTCTGCATTTTTTGAGACTTCTTTTATGGCTCAGAATATGGTCTGTGGGGATGTTCTGTAAATGTCCATTAGATCAAGCTGCTTGATAGTGGTGTTCAAGTCTCCTATGACTTAGATGATTTTCTGTTCTATTAGTTATTGAGAAAGGGATATTAAATATTAAATCTCTGGCTATATCTGTGTGTTTATCTATATTTTCTTGCAGTTCTATTCATTTTTGCTTCATGTATTTTAATGTGACTTTTTAAAAAAATTTATTTATTTAATTTATTTATTTGGTTGCGTTGGGTCTTCATTGCTGCACACAGGCTCTCTCCAGTTGCAGTGAGCAGGGGCTACTCTTTGCTGTGGTACACGGGCTTCTCATTGCGGTGACCTCTCTTGTTGCAGAGCACGGGCTCTAGGTGTGCAGGCTTCAGCAGTTGTGGTGCATGGGCTCAGTAGGTATGGCTCGCGGGCTGTAGAGCGCAGGCTCAGTAGTTGTGGCGCATGGGCTTAGTTGCTCCGCGGCATGTGGGATCTTCCCAGACCAGGGCTCCAACCCGTGTCTCCTGCATTGGCAGGCGGATTCTTAACCACTGAACCACCAGGGAAGTCCCAATGCTACATTTTTAAGGTGCATATGTTTTAGGGATTTTTATGTCTTGATTAATTTTCTCCTGTATCATTATGTAATAACTTTCGTTATCCCTGGTAATATTCTTTGCTCTGAAATATGTTTGTCTAATAGTAATATCGTTTTCTTTGGATTAGTACTAGAATGATAATATATTTTTAATCGTTTTTATTAACATTTGTATTTTTATGTTTGTTTCATGAAGGCAGCATACGTATACTTAGGACTTGTGTTTTTGTTTCTGTTTTTTTTTTTACCCAATCTATCTCTGCCTTTTTTTTTTTTTTTTTTTTTTTTTTGCGGTACGCCGGCCTCTCACCGTTGCTGCCCCTCCTGCTGCAGAGCACAGGCTCCGGACGCACAGGCCCAGCGGCCATGGCTCACGGGCCCAGCCGCTCCGCAGCATGTGGCATCCCCCCGGACCGGGGCATGAACCCGTGTCCCCTGCGTCGGCAGGTGGACTCCCAACCACTGCGCCACTAGGGAAGCCCCATATCTCTGCCTTTTAATGGAGGGGGTTTGAACATTATGTTTAATGTGAATATGGATAATGGTTAAGTCTGTCATCTTGATATTTTTTCCTATTTGTCCCTTCTGTTCTTTGTCCTTTTTCCTCATTTTCTTATTTTGAATTTTTTTCTGTTTTTAAAAAATGGTTTTCATTAAGATATAATTCACATACCATTCATCATTTTAAGATGTACC